ATCAGACCATTCAAAAACCTGATTAGATAATGAAGCTATGCTTTCTTTCATAGTTCTGTGAACTAGTTCTATGATCCCAATCGATTGTGGGTAATAAATGGAACTTTTTCTGTGTTCAATAGTTAAATCTGTTAAAAAATTCTCAAATTCAGCCGAAACAAAAATTTGACCCGTTGTCAGATAATATTATCTTTCGGAATACCGAATTTTGAAAAATACAGATTCATACATCTTATGATTGTTGCCAGAAGTGATATTTGGTTAAAGGAATTAGCCTCTAAATATCTCGAAGTAATGATCAACAATTGTTAAAATGAAAAATTTTACCATTGTGTGACCTGGGTAATTTACCTACAATATCAATAGCTAACATCTCTCCAGGGGCTAAATCAGACTTTTTTATATTACTTGTGACTGTTCTAGAAGATATGGGTTTATTTTCCAAACATTGTTGACAATTTTCACAAAAGTGTTTTGTGTCTAAAAACATGCCCTTCCAGAAATATTTCTTTTTTATGAATTCATAAGTCTCCTTGGTACCAAAATGTGGAGCATGAGCAATCTCTAAACCAGGTTTCCCTAAAGAATACTACTTTAGAAGCATCAGTAATTAAAAAAATTTTATGATTATCATCAATGTTTTTTATAGTAGGCTTTTCTAACATTATTGTCTGTAACAGATCAAAGGCATCCTAACAATCTTGATTCCAAACAAAAGGTACATTTCTTTTAGTCAAGTGTACTATTGGCTGAGTGATCTCAGCAAAATTATGGATTAAGTGTCTAGAATAATTCATCGTACCAAGAAAAGCTTGAACTTGTTTAACATCTTTTGAAATAGGGAATTTTGAAACTTTTGATATATTATCTTCAGAAGGAGAAAAACCTGCTTTAGAAAATGTTAAAACCTAAATACGTTATATCAGATTTGCATAACTGCACTTTACCTGGATCCAAAGTCAAATTATTTATTTTTTTTTAAAATTTCATGACCTTTAGTCAACCCGGACCAGCCTGCAACTGACCAAACGTATAAATGAAGGTGGCCAACCTACACCCATACTAACCAAGAAACTCCAAAAAAATTAATTGGAACTAAATCCACTACATTCATAATCAAACACTAAACATGTGTGAATTTTTTCTTTCTTTAATTCTTATTATTTTTTTTACTTAGTGAACATGAAAATACAAGCTCGATGAAAACAATGCTATTAATTAGTTAAATTTGACCTCAAAGGAACTCTTTTAAACAATTTACTACAATGAATTTTTTGAGTTTTGTTGTCAGTGATATTTTCAATTAAATAGTTTTCATTTCGAAAATGTTTACGATTTTGAAAGGACCAGTGTATTTTGGCTGTAAGGCATGAGGTGGTTGTAAAGCCTTTAAAAATACTTCGTCTCCAATGTTAAATTTAGGACTTTCTCTGCCCTTCACAACTTTATCTTGTGTTTGAAAATACTTTTCTTCATTTTGTTTCACTAACTCTCTAGTGGCTTTAATGTGTTCCTTTTGACGCAACAAGTATTGTGAAGGATTGCCTAAAGCATGTGGTTCATTATTTAATGTCTAAAGGTGTATTGAGTTCTCGCCCGAAAAATAACTGAGCAGGAGTGAAACCAGTTACTATGGGTTTTGAATTATTGTAATACAGTTTAAGAAATGCCAATCTATCAGACCATTCAAAAACCTGATTAGATAATGAAGCTATGCTTTCTTTCATAGTTCTGTGAACTCGTTCTATGATCCCATTCGATTGTGGGTAATAAATGGAACTTTTTCTGTGTTCAATATTTAAATCTGTTAAAAAATTCTCAAATTCAGCCGAACAAAAATTTGACCCGTTGTCAGATAATATTATCTTTGGAATACCGAATTTTGAAAAATACAGATTCATACATCTTATGATTGTTGCAGAAGTGATATTGGTTAAAGGAATAGCCTCTAAATATCTCGAGTAATGATCAATAATTGTTAAAATGAAAAATTTACCATCGTGTGACCTGGGTAATTTACCTACAATGTCAATTGCTAACATCTCTCCAGGGGCTAAATCAGACTTTTTTATATTACTTGTGACTGTTCTAGAAGATATGCGTTTATTTTCCAAACATTGTTGACAATTTTCACAAATGTGTTTTGTGTCTAAAAACATTCCCTTCCAGAAATATTTCTTTTTTATGAATTCATAAGTCTTGTTGATACCAAAATGTGGAGCATGAGCAATCTCCAAACAAGGTTTGACTAAAGAATTTGGAAGTAGAATTTTGTTTTCTAAATGCCTTGTCTTTAAATGATGTGCTCTAGGTCTTAACTTAATCATTACTATACCATTTTTCTGATCAATAAAATATTTGCTACAAATCTCAGAATTGTTATTGTTAATTTTGTTTATGATGTCGTTAATGATTTTATCATCGTTTTGGTGATTAACTATATTTTGAATGCTTAATTGATTATTTTTGGTTCAAATAAGTTAATATTGTTTACATTATGAGATTCTTCAGGAATTCTGGAAAGAAAATCAGCAGTATTAGAAAAACCAGGCATGTGCTTTAAAGTGTAATCAAAATCCTGTAAATACAATAACCATCTGGCCACAATATCAGGCTGTTTATCCAATTGCATATGAAAAGTGAGAAGTTTAGCATCAGTTAAGATAGTAAATTTTTTTTCATACAAATGTTCATGAAAATGTTTCACAGATGAAAATATAGCATAGAGCTCACGTCTAATCGATGGATACCTAGACTCAGCAGGAGTCAGAAGTTTCGAATAAAATTCTACAGGAAAGAATTTGTCATCAATTTTTTGCAAAAGTATACCACAAATAGCTACTTTAGAAGCATCAGTAATTAAAAAAATTTTATGATTATCATCAATGTTTTTTATAGTAGGCTTTTCTAACATTATTTTCTGTAACAGATCAAAGGCATCCTAACAATCTTGATTCCAAGCAAAAGGTTCGTTGCTTTTAGATTCTAAGTATATATAATATTATATAAAGCTATCGTTTATTAATAGCATTATGCATAATAATAGAAAATTATTATTAATATTTAAAATTTAAATTTTTTAATAATTTATTTTGCATTTTTGCAGATTTTTGAATGTGCTTGGACATATATCAATTATATACTGGGAAAAATATACGAAAAATAATTAAATTTATGTACGGCTGATTTGTGAAGGAAAAATTACAATTAAATTGCTCTTAATATAAAGAGCCGTTTTTCATAATTGGCATTAGATTAAATTAATTCCGTTATCCATTAGAAAGCAGTTATAGTAAAACCTCGTTTGACGACGTCTGTAAGAGGTCGCCTTCTGAACTAAACCAGTGTTTTTGAAATCATAAATAAACACTGAAAATAAACATCACTTTTCTAAGACAACCACATCTACAGAGCTCTATAATCTTCTAAAACCGTGAATGATCGCCTTTAAAGAGGGCTCGCAACTTTTAATAAAGCACGTACATTAATCTTAATTGTACATTTGTGGCAATTTTTTTTTCTTTCAAAGCATGAAAATAATGATTCTCTTAAAACACGTATCTAGATTCACGTAACGGACCTTTTGAACACGCCTAAAATTCTTTATTCTGCTCAGAATAATTTTCCTAAAGGAAATATTAATTAGATATTAGAAATCAAAAAGCTTAATCAGGTCAACGTAGGAACCGTCATTTCGTAATTTTATTTGACGAAAACAAGGTGAGGAAAGCATCTAAGAAAACGGCACTAGTTCGAGGTAGAAATGAAGCAGAAAAGAACAAAACGACTCAAAACGACTAAAATTTCAGAGCCATGTTCTAGTCTGTGTAACAGTCTAACCTAATGACAAAGCAGATATTTCGTCTATACTTTGTTCTGAAACAACGCTGTACAATAATAACAAAATTTGATTCTGCATACTCAAGAGCACAAAAAGTTTTTCTTGACTGGCGACTATACTATTCGACTGACATTCAGAATGCTCAAATAATGCTGACTTCACAAAACAAACGAATAGAGAAGGTAATAAATTGGAAGATTTTTTTCTATTTGAAACGGTACTAAATACTTCCCGGTAAAATGAAACACTTTTCGATTTCTAACAATATAATTAATTTTTAAGAACACCCTTCATATATAGTAAAAAATATCTGAAAAGAATAAACAAAAGAATAATTAAAAAATCCTGTTTTAAAAGCTTGCTAATAGTTGTTCACTTGATATAAGAATAGACTTTTCTGAGGGGGTAATAAGTATCAGTATTAAACATCACCTGATCACCATTTCTCAAATCTATGCTTTTCGCGAGGAAGAAATTATAGTTTAAATTAAATTATAGTTTTCTTAAAAATGCTTTACATTTTTAGAAATATATGTTTATTTTAAAGACCAGGGCACTGATTTTTTTGCTAAACTTTATAGCTAATATAATGACACTGTAGCGAGAATGAATGTTCTGCCAAGGTTTAGTTTGTTAATGATAATCTTATTTTACACAGAAACAAATTATAAGCTTTCTGAGAATTGCCAGTTTGGTAACAAATATACAAATACGTATATCGGGTTATCGGTGTATCGATTTTTTGACATTTGTTTGGGAACAGCCCAAGATTATTGGCTGTATTTAATTAAACTAGCTAAATCCTCTGCCAACTGGTCCCCAGCACAATGATCATCAACAGAACAATAAAGCACCCCGTGCTAACACCCCGAAAAATAAAGAAGCTGGGAGCTCTTTTCGTTAGTTTTCTGACTGTAAGAAATAAAACGTCCGTACTGAGAATCCTGCTGCTACTGGAGAAGTAGCAGAACTACCCCTATACCCTTCAAGACCCGCACTCACCACCCCTACTAATCCCTTATCCACTCGGACTTCTCCGCAATGGCCGACACCTAATAGAACAATTGATTCTCTCCGCGACGCCCACTGGTCATTTGCTTAAACTACATCACACGAAAGGGGGTCTCCTCTCTCGCCTCACGCCTTGCCCGATATCGATTAATCGATGGCAGAGTCCTGGAATCGTTAATCGACTCCGTGCTCTCTGTGGGTTTCGCTTTGGGAAGTTTCGAGAACTCTTGCTCTGGTTTGTGGCGGAAGCACCTGCCATTTAGTGCTTTTTAGAACGCGAGAGAGAGGAAGAAGGGGGTATTAGGTCGCAGAGGGGGAGGTGAAGGTTAGATGGACTGAGATCGAAGTAGAAATGGCGAGCGATGGAAATTCCGATAAAGACCCTAGGTCGCAGTTTGGGGGCTGTTGAATTTCTGAATTGATTGCTGTGGTGTTTTGCTGAATGCAAAGTAATCGAAACACATTGATTTTATTGAAAAAATTTGAAAATCTCTATTTTCTGTTGAAAGCTGAGGTTTTATTTTAAATACTGAAATTTACTTTAATATTTTTTTTCTGGCCACGAAATTTATGAATCTTGCTTAGAATATAAATGCCTGTTTGTAGAAGGCGTAATGACACTTAATATACAATGGTTGTTCAGAATAGTGATACTATCAAATAAAATTTTTTTTTTCAGTTCAGTGTGATTTGATGAATGAAATGAAAGGGATTATTTACACAGTTTACTAATAGTAACTCTGGTTTTATCTGGGGGTCTGTTAATTAGCAATTCTCGATTTTCAGTAGTCACAGTTAATACTGTATAGGAGCCCGACGAGTGGAGAGATCCTGAGATAGATTGATTGGGAGAATCTGGAAAAAGGCACTTTATTAGCTAAGCTTAAAACAACACGTGAGCTTCCGCACGTGAGAAATGTGAGTCTTAGAAGTTGTTTGGTTTGGTAATGTTACGGTAATAAGAGTCCGTCGGTCGTCAGCTGGGAGCTGAGGTGGCGTCAGGTCTGGAATGAAGGGGCTAGGCATTATCAGTGGGAGGAGGATGAAAGGTCATGTGTTATCTTTTCCCAAATCATCCCACGGTTGTCAGAAACCAGAAAATTAATTTAATTTAGCTTTTTTGAAGATTTATACTAATGAGATGTAAGTAAGATCTTCTCTGATTGGTTATTAAGATATTTTACTTTCCTTTAATGATATCAATAATTCTGCGGATAAGAGGCATTAAATCCGAGACCGTAAACTGTGACTTGATTAAGTCAACATTAGAGTTTACGTCGCATGCTGTAACAAGATCTGTTTTTGTAGTTAGGAGCAGACTATTTTTTTAATTTCCAGTAACAAAATCAGAATTCGTTTCAGCAGAATAATATCGAAATTTAGTATGCAAAGGGTATAAAGACCAATATTTGTGCAATAGTAACTATTCAGTTTGTTCATGATAAATGTTTTTCCCCCATTAGTTTAGTAATTTTGCAAAGTTCTATTATTTGTAAAGCTATATTATATGCTTAAATATATTTATATCGAAAGGATCTGGATTAATAAGAAACTAAAAATTACTTTTATCAAACTAAACCTTTTTTCTGAACAACGCTAGTGTAACGAGTTAGTTACAGTTCCTAGCATCCACTACTGAAAGAAATCTGCCCGAAGAATGGAACTGAAAACTTTTAATATGTAACACAGGATTTAATGAAAAAGTTAACTATTTCATTTCAGTAGGCAATTGTTAACTATTTGGCAGTTTATTTCTCAGGACAGAGGAATTTCTTTCGAACAGAAATTCGTAAACAGAGAAGTTTCTGAAGTTTCGAAGAAACGAATTTTATTTTAACTAACGCGGCCGAAGTTAAATATCGTTTAAGGAAATATCCACGTAATCTCCAAAACGAATATGTATCAAACAGCGCTATAGTAAAGAAGTTCTTTATTTATTTTTACTTAAATATTTCTTTCTTTTTCAGTTTTCAGCACGCTAGTGAATTTCTTCTAGTATCATAAAAATAATTACATTCTTTGTGCCGTAAACATATCTACGCATATTCTTATTCACTAGATAACTGGTAAAGTTCGGTGGTATGTTGTAGAGACATAAGGTTAACTATAAGCAGAAGAGATGAAAAATTAGCAATAGCCTTCGGCGGGAATCGAAGCACGGACCTCTGGAATACCGGCCCAGCGTGCAGAACCACTACACCACGAGGGCACGCTAGGAAGGCGGGAGAAATACCTTATAATGCCAATGGAATAAGGATATTTTTCGTCTAACTTGATGATGATTTCTAATTTCTTTTAATGATTGATTTTCGAAAATTTGACGCAAGTGTATAATGATAAAAGTTTAAACTAAGTAAAATATTCTTGAAATAATTAATACAGTTTAAATATTGTTGTGTAGAGAATTTGTCTGATAGCGTTATAAAAACTAGGTGAATGATTTTCTGATTTATGGAAATCTTAATTTTATTTGAT